GTTTGTCGATCTTCTTTTTCTTTTTAAGTTTTCTATTTCTCACACGAACTCAGTCCACGCCGAGGTTGATGAGACAGACGACCGATATCTTCGTCTGGCGAAATAGGCTATTCCGCATCAGAGGTGATTTGGGATTTTATTGTTTATTAACTAATGGCTCTGTAATAATAAATACATTGAGCTCTTTTTGTGGGTCAGTTTTAATATTTTACATTACTAGGGTCCACTTGGAAAGAGGCTATCCCCATATGAGGTGATTTTGAATTTTATTGTTTATTAATTATTTCCTCTGTAAGAATAAATACATTGAGCACTTTTGTGGATAAGTTTTAATATTTTATATTACTAGGATCCACTTGAATTATATGCCAACATATTTGTTACATTTATATATATATATATATATATATATATATATATATATATATATATATATATATATAATAATAATAATAATAATAATAATAATAATAAAAGGGTCAAACACTAATATTCCATGTTTATATATATATATATATATATATATATATATATATATATATAAAAAAGGGTCAAACACTAATATTACATGGTTATATATATATATATATATATATATATATATAAATGGCTCAAACACTATTCTTGCTCTGCCTGGACATTGCACTCTACCTAGATTCTCTTCTCTTAGAAATTTATATATATATATATATATATTAGTATTTAATATTAGAATATTAGTGTTTAAGCCTTTTTATTATATCCTTACTCTGTCCTAGACATTGAGTTCTACCTGGATCCTTCCTCTTGGAAAATTTTTTTTTCTGAAAATATACATGTATGGGAATTTTTAGATATATTTTTCATATGTATGTATATTTTCCACTAATATATATATATATATATATATATATATATATATATATATATATATATATATATATATTGAATAAAAACAGACCAATTTAAGGTTCCATGTAATAAATTATTTCACCACAACACTTTTAAAGGGCTTTGGATCATCAGACTTTAATTCCAAAGGTTGAAATGAAAAATATTCAAACATATTTGCTTTGAATTTACATTAAGCTCTCTGGATATCATCCTCCTTGGGTCTACCCATACGGATTACCTAGTTTTGCATAAAAATATATATATATATATATATATATATATATATATATATATATATATATATTAACCACTAATATTATCTATCTATCTATCTATCTATCTCTCTCTCTCTCTCTCTCTCTCTCTTTCTCTCTCTAATATATATATATATATATATATATATATATATATATATATATATTATATATATATATATATTCAAGTATGTTCGGTTAAATAATTTAGATACTTATATTCATTTTAATTTTAATCCTTTTAAATCCACGAATAAATTTCTTGATGGCTGCATAAAATTGATTAAGAAAAATTAGAAAATTTTCTTTCAAATATTTTCTATTTTTCCAAGTACTTTCAATCTCATATGAGACAATCTCGGGGGTTGCATATCTGTAGATGTTTTACTCGTTAACACCATAAATTCAAAATATTTTTTTCAGGACATTTAAAGGCGCATTAATGTCAACATTCACTTTTCAGACAGTCATTATTCGAAAATACATCAGTGCTTCATCAAGATAATAATAAGCAAAAAATTTAATGTCTTGAAATCCTTTATATTTTAATTGCAGCCAGAAACGAATAAAGTCAATTATGAGTACAGCAACAAAGTTCTTAAAGCTTTGTAGCAGCAAAGCGTTATATAAATAATACGAAATTAAAATACTACAATTAAAACAATCTTTTAAATAAATATTTTTAAAAATCACATAAGTTACCTCCCTTGCATATGGGTAAAAAAAAAATTTACGGTGTTAATGCATAAGTAACCCCTGAAGTCTTTTGTGTTTTCGTATTGTTAGTGATGAGCTATCTAATGATACTGTCGTTCTTGTGGTTCTTGTTAATCTGTTGGATGATAGAATTTCTTCAGATAAATGACATGTAAACCTGCATGAAAGAGTGGTTGTTGTATAACCCATATAATACATAAGTTGTTCAATATTCACACACACACACACACAGACACACATATTATATATATATATATATATATATATATATATGATGGACACTTGATGAATTATATGTTTTTCTGTTTTATATGTCTTTTAAGGCTGCATTAGGACCTGTAAAACATTCCACATACATGCCATGGAAAACCACCTTTGCGAAGTCCACAGAAATGATAGAGCGATGTTTTGTAATATGGAGATGTTCAATGCATGACTTCTCTAAAAATTGATATTCCTTTTATGCGTCCACTCCTCCACTTGGCATGGCCAGAAACCACTGCCCTCAAAAGACGATTAAAGGACGTCTACAAAGCTGAAATGAAATCCCTTTAAATCGACAGGGGGGGAGGGGTCTCCCATCTTGCAAGGACCATTAAGGACAGTTGGCTGAATATGTAGATTTTCTGTCACCTTTCACCACTCATGCGTACAGTATGACAAGCTTACACACACACATACACACACACGCAAACGCATACACCTTGAAAAGTGGACGGACAGTTCCGCCTACGAAACTCTGGAGTCGGGAGGCTGAAGATAACATCAATTCGTTAAGTTTACTTATATTTATATATAATATATATATATATATATATATATATATATATATATGCTTAAATATATATATATATATATAAATATATGATTTTTAAACATTTATATAAATATAAATCTGTAGGCCTGTGAACACTGGGTGTTGAACTCATGTCCACACGCTCTCTATCCATGGTATGTAGCACTTTTAATCGATAAATGTAGCATACCTATAAATATGAAATTATGTTTCGTTTTTATATATATATATATATATATATATATATATATATATATATATATATATATATATATAATTTAAATAAACAAAGATTATATGACCAGCATTAATTAATCATAGCTGAGGTTCGAAAGCTCGTGAAGAATTGAAATAAAGTTCATATATATATATATATATATATATATATATTATGCCAAGATCCTTTTTCCAACTTATTCAAGATCTTCGCCCTCTCTAACCTTCTAACTTTCTGTCATGCCGTAACAAGATGCCTGAACGTTATATGTACGATTTCATTTTCAAGTCTTTTTTCATTGATCTTTGCACTATCATAGCTGAAACTCCTCTCTCGCGTGGCAAACATCTTATGAATTGAGTTGGATCTCCTCGAATTAATCTCTTTAGGTCTAAGATGATGAAATGGGTATTCTTCTTCCTGTTGTGACTTCCTGATCTAGTTTTCCTCTCTAGTGTTCCATCTATTTTAAACTTATTCACTGTTCTTTTGTGTCTACAACACATTTATTTCGTCTTCAAGTTTTGATTATAAAGGAAAAAAATTACAGCCTGACGATGAGGACATGAAGTCCTTGAAAGTACTTGCTTCTATAAAAAATACACTAGATCCATCTGACAACAATTTTATACATAAGGATCGCATCATTCAGTGGATTGTTAGTAGTTTAATGCTTATATTAAGTATGTTAGCGAAGAGATTTCACCATTAATTGCATTAATGATTATTACTTTATAATACACACACACACACACACACACACATATATATATATATATAACCTAAAGTAATCCTAAGGAGACAGGCAAACCTACCAATAAAGTAGTATACCCCTTGTTGTTTGTCATTTATTTATTTTGTCACGTGGTTATGGTTATTTTGGTTTTATCAATAAATACTGTCCCGTAATTTTCCTTTCTAGCCAGCTTTACCCTGACCATCTGTTTAGGTGAAACCTAGGTAGGTTTGGCTGGCTCCTTAGGATTATCTTAGGCTTTGCTCTACTTAGTGTATTGAGCACTTTACGTCGTTGTCTTTTTACTCGTTTTGGGTTTTTTTTTCTTTGGACTTGGAGCTTGAACACTGGACGATTGTTTTCGCCTTGTTTTAATGTTCTTGGTTCTTTCTTTTTTTACTCCCCATTTTTTCTTCGGGTACCGATTTGTTCTACTGCAAGTTGAGCTATCTGAAGTTTTTTACCACCACACACACACACACACACACACACACACACACACACACACACACACACATATATATATATATATACATATATATATATATATGTCTATATTTCTGAGATGAGGTATTATGTACAGTATTTACATTAGTCGGACTATTGTCCTCATCTTTGTCGCCATATTTGTCACAACGTTTCGGCCGTTGTACGCTCCGGCCTTCTTCAGGTGGTTGGAATTTCGAACTGAACCCTTTATTTCGATCACTGGGGTAGACTGTTCTAGTTCCACGTGCCATGTTTGATGGATGTCAGTTATCAGTTATCTCCTGCTAATTTTCCCTCTGAAAGTTCTCCACTGCCTTAACCAGGTATTGAACTCACCTTCTTTGGGTCCTGTCACTGGATCTAACCAACGCCTTTATCCACAGTGCCATGTGTCCTTGAGGAAACAACGGCCGAAACGTTGTGACAAATATGGCGACAAAGATGAGGACAATAGTCCGACTAATGTAAATACTGTATATATATATATATATATATATATATATATATATATATATAAATATATATATATGTGTGTGTGTGTGTGTGTGTGTGTGTGTGTGTGTGTGTGTATAAATTTCTCAGCAACTCAAAGAATTTTGAAACGCTATTTTATATTCACATGGTCAACTGAAAAATTACGTCATTTACTTTTTATGTTTGAAGAGAATATTTTTACGTGTAGAAATATTGTTTCCATTGTTGTGTTGAAGGTTTCAACCGTTTTCTTTTGATTTCTTGATATAGCTGTTGTGTACGTTGGCTTGGGAGTGTATATATCTATATATCTATCTGCTCATTATCTCTCTCTATATATATATTATTTCGTTCTCTCTCTGTCTCTGTCTGTCTGTCTGTCTGTCTGTCAGTCAGTCTCTCTCTCTCTATATATATATATATCTGTTCATTATCCCTATGTGTATGTATGTCCATCTATTTATCAGTCCGGTCATTATCTATCTATCTATCTATCTATCTATCTATCTATCTATTTTTCTCTTTCTTCCCTCACTCTCTCTGCCTGTTCAGTCTTTTTCTCTCTCCCTATATGTCTATCTCCCTATTTATCAGTCCGGTCATCTGTTAATTCTCTCTGTCTTTATCGATCAGTTAATGCTCTCTCTATTTATGTATCAATTCCAAACTATCTATCTATCCATCTATCTATCTGTCTATCTATCTATCTATCTATCTATCTATCTATCTGATCATTCTCTCTTTCTTTTTTTCTCTTTGTATTTTTCAGTCTCTCTCGCTCTCACTGTTTATCAGCTCATTCTTTTTCTCTCTCTCTCTATGTCTGTTTATCAATTCGGTCACATCTATCTATCTATCTATCTATCTATCTGGACGTTCTTTTTTCTCTCTCACTTTTTGTCGCCATCTCTCTATCTCCCACTCTCTCTATTTTTCTGTGTATCTGTTTATCAGTCGTTTTCTATCTATCTATCTATCTATCTATCTATCTATCTATCTATCTGGACGTTCTCTCGCTCTCTATCTTTTTGTTTCCATCTCTCTCTGACTATCTGTTCCTTCTCTCTCTCTCTCTCTCTCACTCTCTGTCTCTCTCTTCCTATGTACTTATTTATCAGTTCTGTTCCACTTATCTATCTATCTCTCTTTTTTTCTCTCTATCTTTTCTCTCTTTTTCTCTCTCTGTCTATCTTTTCATTCTCTCACTCTGTCTGCGTATCTATTTATCAGTCCTGTTCCACTTTATCTATCTATCTATCTATCTATCTATCTATCTATCTATCTATCTATCTCTGTTTATATCTATCTTAATCTGTTCATATCTATCTATCTATCTATCTATCTATCTATCTATCTATCTCCGTCTTATCATATCTATCTATCTATCTATCTATCTATCTATCTATCTATCTATCTATCTATCTCTGTTTATATCTATCTTAATCTGTTCATATCTATCTATCTATCTATCTATCTATCTATCTATCTATTTCCGTCTCTTCATATCTATCTATCTATCTATCTATCTATCTATCTATCTATCTATCTATCTATCTATCTATGTACTCTTGTTTGGTAGACAAAATGTATAAATTAAAAAACCGTTCATATATTTTTTTTTTATTACCTGTTAATTCCTTGAGGTTATTATTTGTCAGCAGTTTAACAAATAAGATATATTTAAATAAAAAGTAAAAGAAAGAAAAAAATAACAGTAAAACATAAAAAAAGGGAAATACATTGTTGTTTTCTTGTTGTGTATGAAACTCACCCGACGCTAATGGGTGTATCATATGTCAAGTATTCGCACGTTGGCTAAAACAATCATTCTTTAATGAAGGGTATCGTAGGCGAAAAGTCCGGGTAAAATATTTGTTCTTTTTTTTAACATGAAAGAGAATTTGAATGAGTTTTGTTTTTTGTTTTTTTGTTAAAATAAGAAAGGAAAAAATGGCGGACAACTAATGTAAATAAAATACAAAAACGGAAAAAAAAACAAAAAAACAATGGAATAATATACTGCAAGGAGCCGTCCTTAATACATTTGCTTCTAGACTTTATTCAGTGAGAGATTCTCAAGTAAACATCAATTCTTTTGTTGTAAGTGCCCTTATTATTAATCCTCACTTTATACTCGTCCTCGACATGTGGTTATGCACAACACGCTGTTTCTCAAAGAGTCACTTTTCTTTTCATTTTGTTTTTATGTTTTATATTGTTGGATCTTTCGTTTTTTTTTTTTTTTTTTTTTTTACTCCTGTAGAATTCTCTCAGTACCCCGATAAATTTATAAAAAAAAGAAAAAAAGAAAAGAAGACATGCAATGTCTGATCACAAAAATAATCAAGACTGATGGTATAAAAAAAAACAAAAAACTACAACACATATCAATTCGGCATTTAATCTCCTTCGAAGTAGTTCCCAACTGAAGCTACGCACTTTTTTTTCCAGAGTCATTTCCATTGATGGAAGCATTCCTGGAACTTCTTTTTTTGGAAGGAATAACTCGTTGCATTTTTTTTTTTTTTTTTTATTTCCTCGCCATCTTGAAATTGTGTCCCCTTCAAGTGAGATTTGATTTTTGGAAAGAGGAAAGATTCGCAAGGGCTGAGATCTGGGGAATATGGTGGTTATCGCACCTGTGGAATATTGTAATTGCACAAGTAATGGTCACTGATGTATCCTCTGTGGTATGGTGAGGCGACAACACTTTAAATAAACCCTTTTCGTCTAAGCACTACTATAAACAAGAAAACAACTTAGTGCGCATGTGCGACAGAGTTTAAGGTCAATCTGCATACTTTAGCTCCATTACCATAGCAAATCTCTCGATACTTTTTTTTATCAGATCTCGTAGCTGCCTTACGATATCTATTAAACTTAGCCCGGTAGAATATAAAGATAAAACGTGTTAGCCAAGGATATGGTTAAGGGAGATTATGTAGTGCCAAACCACTAAAAATTAAAGAAACTCAATGTATTTTCACTCAGCCTTAAACGACAATATCTATCACCAATAGTAAAACAATAAAATCCTACAGTAGGCATCAGCGTAGTGTAAAGGTTAACGAGCTATCCTCGTTGTAGATCACTATTTAGTAGTGACCTTTTACGCTATTGCTCACCCAAGGCACAAAATCCACTCAAAGTAGAGAGTTACTGAAGTTGCTGATGGACGGAAGGGGAGGAAGTGAGAAGTGCAGATTATAAGGATATGTAGAAATGATAAATGGTTGACCCTAGACTAATGGATTGATTCGTTTTTACGGCTTATCAATCCAATGCTATTTATTTAGAGCCAGAAAATATTTTTAAATTGTAAGAAATTTTATTTTTAGAAAGACAAAACTTCTTTCTGTTACTAGCGTACTGATTGGGATTGGTTTCGTGGCTTTCTCCGAGACGCCCCTTGGATTGATATTCTTAACCTTCCTGTTGAGAATTGTGCCACAGGGTTATCTTCTTGAGTTAAGGCCTGCATCGAAACTTTTCTGAGTCAGTTATGTGCCATGCTTGATACATGACTCACAGGGCATATTTTTCCCTCAGTAGGTTGCCATTTTTTTTCTGCGGTAGATCATTTGCCATCCAAGACTATAGAACCCGGTCTGTCCTGCTATTTACTCATAGATGGAGGGAAGAAGAAGAGGATTCATACCTTTCGCAATGGTATTAGCAGTAAGAAAATGTAAGGAATCCGACTGTAATTCGAACTCGGCTCTCTGATTTCTCACTCCGAACCGCTATCCATTAAAACACCGTTTTCTAGCTTCTATAAAATACCATATAAAATTTTCTGCTTGGTTCACGCCTACCAATTCAGATGCTGTAGCCAACAGGAAACACTTTTTTCCGGATGTACCAGCGTTATAGTTTCGGCAAACAAGCCTTTGTTTGCTGATAGGAGGAGAAGCCGTGTAACCTCGAACAAATTTGTTTTTTGTGACAACTGGCTGCTATGTTCCTCCTCTGAGGAATTTGAGGTGTTAACATCTTCTGATTATAAAATAATGCTTTGCTCGTAAATTCTCTTCCAATTCTAATCTTGATTCATCTCGTGTATCTTTGCCTGACTTTCCGCTTAGAACTGAATCCCTACTGAGTGATGTACATATAAATCCGTCCAGGAATTTTGGTATCATCTCTAAACTGGATCCCCATAAAGCATGAGAACTTTATGGTATCCCGGCAATAGTCCTTTAAAAAATGTACATCTGATATGGCTCTTGTTCTCTCTGAACGCTACAATAAATGCATTGCTGCTTCTTTGTTTTCTGCTTGATGGAAATCTTCTGTAGTTCCGTTTTTTTAAGAATTGACACGCAGCGTCTGATCCTTCTATCGGGGCCTATTATTTCAAACATCAAGGTCGGCAGAAATTATTCGTAAAAGCATACTGCTAAACAATATTAAGTACTTAATAAAATAAACGCATATATTAATTTTATGTAGTTGATCCAATATTTTGCGCAACAATATATATATATATATATATACACACACACACACACACACACACACACATATATATATATATATATATATATATATATATATATATATATTAAATTGGAAATTCTTAGTAGGTGTAGACATAGGAAACGCTGCTTATTAGAGTAGTTTTTTTTTTAATAAAGTCCGTAACCCCTAACCCCAGTTGAGTTTATTATTATTATTATTATTTGTCACGTGGTCATGGTTATTTTTGGTTTTAGCTATAAATTCTTTTCCATAATTTTCCTTTTTGACCAGCATCGCCCTGACGATCCGTTTAGGTGAAACCTCGGTAGGTTTGCCTGGCTCCTCAGGGTTATCTTAGGTTTTGCTCTACTTCGTGTATTGAGCACTTTGCGTAGTTGCGTTTACTGGTTTTAGAGGTTTTTTTCTTTGGTCTTTGAGCTTGAACTCTGGACGATTGTTTTCGCCTTAGTTTAATGTTCTTGGGTCTTTCTTTCTGAGATCCGAAGACGTTTTGTGATATAAATATGCATCCAAAATATATATATAGAGACATAAAAATATATATATATAAATATATATATGATATATATATGATATATATATCCTGTATGGTATATATGGAAAATCTCATCGAAGATGAAGAAGAGACGTGAAGCAACACAAATGTGGTTCTACAGAAGGATGCTGAGGATACCATAAACCGAACATGTGGGCAGCAACAAAGTTTTAGAGAAAATGCAAACAAAATGAAACTTATACTTAACAACAATGAAGAGACAGTTGAGATTGCTAGGGCACATAATGAGGAAAGAGTGCTTAGAAAATCTGATACTCACAGGACAGATTGAAGACAAGATGGCGAAGGAAAACAACACCTAACTTACTTTACGAGATTGACTAAATGTATAGCGGAACAGGGTTTAGGCGAGATAAAAAAAAAGATAAAAAATATTAAGAGCTACAAGGGACAGGAAGTTGTGGAGAGCCATGATTAAGAGGTGATAATTATTAAAAAAAAAAGGATTCTTTCTGATTCATGACTTCAAATACAGTTAATGTTAATAATATAATAATAGTCTGGGGGCAAAAAATCGGAAGTTCCACCAGCAATGAGACACGTGACCACCAAAACCGGATCAACTTCAAATTGTTTAGTGACTTAATGACAAGTGAATTAATTAAACAAACGAAATGGAATCGTGAAAAAATAGTAATGTCATGGCATCTTTTTTAATTGAAAATCCAAAATGGACTTGACCGATCAGTCATACCAAATATGGAGATATATTGTAAAACTAAAATAAAATCTTCAAATATGCTTGTCGATATCCGCAGGGTCACCATGCCAAATAAAAGACTCAAATACAGACAGAGAGAAGATAAAAGTAAATATAAGAAAAGTACAGTCATACATAATTCATACAAAAATGAGGCAAATGGTGGATAAAATAAATAGACAAGTTGACAGAGGATGAGATAAAAACTAAAATAAATGAAATACGAAAAAAATGATCTCCCAGGAAATAAATCGGAAGAATTTAGACGCAACATAAATAATTGCAGTGTATTCAAATTCTGTGACTGATGTAAGGGAATCAAACGACGTTAGAACAGAATGCATTGAAAACAACAGATGCTGCACTGCCACCAGGAGTTGAGGCAAAACTTTTGTGGCGCTGCTCCAGGGTCTCCCGATACCGAAGCTTGCCACATATTATATACTTAAATAATTAATTATATAACATTAATAATGATGATTAGTTGACAGGAATAATTAATAATAAACAATATTCGTATTATTATTTTTTTTATTTGGTTTGCACATTTCTTTCCGGGTCCAGAGGGACCTAAGGTTAGAAATGGCGTCATGACACTTTCCACTGACAAAAAAAAAAAAAAAGATTACATAGATAAAGCCCTTTTGGGCTGTACTTGTTAGAACAATTTTCTGTATCTCCTTGAGGCATGGACTTCCAGGTATCCCTTCAATTAGAGAATCTTTTTCCAACCAGTCCTAGGGCTCCAACTACAACAGGGATTGTTGATGTTCCCATATGCCACAGATTTCTATTTCAAAGGTCCTTGTACTTTGACAACTTTTTTGAATATCTTCAAAGA